GGAGGGGTCGGAGTTAACGACGTTGGGACAGCGTCGGGCTGTGCCGGCGGAGGAGGCGTCGTCGCCATGTGAACAGACTACAGAGGGAAAGGGACGAAGGGAAAATTGGGAATAGGGGCTTAACAAAGGATAAAGTTATTCTGTACCCTTGTCTTGACGGGGATTTTTTTTCATACCCTGCCCTAAAAAGTTTTGAAATGGAGTGGGGTTACAAATTTGTGGGATCAACCGAATCCGACCCGTGAGCAATAATAATGCAAATAACTCGATGGCGGGATTATGGGTCGGGTCGGGTTGGACGTAGGTTAAGAAAACCGATTTGAAGATCTTTTCAGTGACTGCACCGTACAAACAATGAACAAATTTTTACTATAGACCCTAACCAAGTTTTAATAATCAAAATCGACCCATTTTTTTTAATTACCAAAATCGACTCATTTTATGCCACGTAAGCTTAATCTCATTTCCTAATTAGTCGGGGTTGCCAACCCCGACTGTTTAGGAGTTGTTAAACCCAATTAGAAGCCTTAAACCCAGTTTTTAATGCCCTAAACAGTCGGGGTTGTCAACTCCGACTAATTAAGAAATGTGATTAAGCTGACGTGGCATAAAATGGGTCGATTTTGGTTATTAAAAAAATGGGTCGATTTTGGTAATTAAAAAAATGGGTCGGTTTTGATAATTAAAACTTAGTTTGGATTTACAGTGAAAAATTGTTCTACAAACAATATATCTTAGGGGTTGTTTGGTGGATTTCCCATAATTATGTGAAACATAATCATAAATATCCCTTTTCATGGTTTTTTAAGGTTTTTAACATTTTTGAGCAACTTGATTGGTTTACCTTAAAATAAGGTTAGATTTGTGTTTACTACAAATGATAAGAATGCGAGGAAAATAAAACATGCAGCCACAAAACCGATAGTACTAAAATGAAAAGTAATTTTCTACAACTGATAAATTATTTTACAGGACAAATTTTCAAAACAGTCCTTTCTGGACTTTTAATCTAAAAAAAACGTTTTCAACTTAATTGCAGAAACCGACCTGGTTTCAGTCTCAACACTGAAACCAAGTTCGGTTTCTGGAAAAAAAAATTCGAAACTTCACGAGAGTTGAACTCCTGTGAAGTTTAGTAAGTTTTACTAAACTTCACGGGAATTCAACTCCCGTGAAGTTTTATAGGTTAAATTTTTTTTTTAAATTTTGAACTATGAAACTTCATAGTAGTTGAACTCCCGTGAAGTTTAGTAAAGCTTACTAAACTAAGTTTTGGAAATTTTTTTTTCATAAACCCACCTGGCTGAAACTAGGGGTGGAAATGAACCAAATAATTAACAAATAGTTCGATAATTGTTCGAATAACTATTCGATCATATATTCGATTCGGTAGTTCATTTACCACTAAACAAATATTTTTTAGTATTCGAGTTTACTAACAAATAGAATTTAACCAGATGTATATTCGATTCATTTGTTTATTAAATATTCGTTTAAAATTTAATCACAACTTATTATTTGTATTATTACACATATGATGTCATATTTTTAATTCACTTACCATTTCTACTTAACTTTTATATACTGATTTTAAGTCTAAAATAATCTTAAATCTATTTTCTAATTAAAATTTTGATTTAAATATATATACATCATATATTAAAAAGGAATAATTTTTATTTATGAATTTTAATATTATTTGAAAATCAAAAAATTTTAGCAGAATAAATATACTTTAATATTCGATAAGTATTCGTGAATATTCATGAATATTTATCAAATACAAAGTATTCGAGTTCGAATTCGAAAAACTAGATATATGAATATTAGAGTCCGTATTTGAATTCGATAATTTTAAACAAATACAAATACGAACACCTTAGTATTCGATTCGATCCGATCGTTTACCTTAGCTGAAACAGGTCGTTTCTGAAATTAAGTTGAAAACAGGTCTTTTTGGGGATTAAAAGTGTAAACGGGATTGTTTTGAAAATTCCTCCTCAGTTTACATTCAAGAATTTTATCTGTAGCAACATTCTGAAGTAGCTCGGTGATGTTTTTGTAGAGGGGTCGACTCCAAATCAGTAGAATCTCGGAGAAATCAAGCAATAAAGAAAGCAAAAGCAGCCAATCGTCCTCCAAAATAACCCACCGAACTCAAAAATCCAGAATTAAAGATGATTTAACGATGAAACAGCAGATCAATCAACCCAAGTAAAGCTAGAGTTTCTTTGTGAGATGACAATGCAAATAGAGGGAGGGAACATTGATCAGGATGGATAGAGGGAGCCAGCCATGAGTAAAATTCACGGCCATTTTCACTCCAGCACAATTTTTTTTTTTTATGAGAGAGTGGCTGTTGTGAAGAAAGAAAAATAGGGGAGAAAATGAGAGCGAGTCTAAAAGAGATCAGCTTTGCCACTGTGGTTTTGATCCCTCGCCGTGCTCGTTGTTATCCGATTCCCAATTCCACGATCCCTCGAGCTCAAGATGTGCCAAATATTTGTGAGTTTCTTCCCATCTAGGGCTTTAGTCACATTTTGTTTCCTTTTTATTATATATATTTTGTGTATTTAATCATGGCAGGCACATAATTTTCCCTCTGTATGATAGATTCATCTAAACAGGAACCAACTTATTACCTGATTTTAGAAATCAATTTACTTCTTGTGTTACAAACTGTGATGTGCTTGATTTAAGAGATTATAGGTTGATGGCAGGATGACCTTGTTAGCATTCAATCCCTCGAGAAATGAGGAGCATATAAAGATTAAAGACTCATCACGACACAATTTGAAACTAAATGTTTCCAGATGATAGTGCATTCATGTTTGTACATTTTTTTTGTATTTGTTCATTTAGATAACCATTATAATTCTATGAGGGTTAAAATCTTCACCTTCATAATCACATAAGTAGCCTTAAATTAAAACATGTACCTAACGTACATCTTATAGAAGATTGGCATCCCTTGCAATGAACCTAAGTTCATCGTATGGATATTTCTACTAGACGTCCATAACATCGACGGTACTATGCAGATGCCATCTTACTTATATGCGTATCGCATTTTGCACGTGATACACTTTACCTATCTTAATAATATGCATGTCACATTTTTCTCCGTAAAGTATTCCTTAGCGTAGAAAATATTCTCTCTTTCGTGCAGACTCTACTATAAAACTGATAGATTTGCTGTCTCCGGATCGTAGGGGGAAAAGAATCAGAGGTTTTATTTCTAATTTCTATTTTGTTAACTGTTGCCTCTTTTGGATAAGTATTCCTCTGCGTGGAAAACTTCTCTCTTTTTTCATCGGACAATATACGCGTGGAATGTGGATTTAGGCATCCTTTTTATAAATAATCAAACCCAATATGCCAAGTGCCCTGATCTTTTAGGGTGAGCAAGGGATTAGGATGGTATTGCAGATTAGGCAGAACAAAAAATTCTAAATGGTATTTGAATTGTACTGTTGTAAACTTGCAATATGAGCATAAGCTATGAAAACTGACATAAAATGAAGATATTTACAATTAAGTACATCAGAACAAAGAATCACTTGCCTTCGAATTAACAAAATTCTAGTGGCTCAACTTCCCTGCTTACAATTTGCTCTACTTCCATTATTACTTCTATAGGCCAACCAAGTAAATAGCGAAATCATTTCCATTTCTGATGCTGAAGCGATGCAGATTCTCAAGAGACAATCCACAGGAAGAGTGTTGACCAAAGAGTAAGGGCTACTGAAGCCATAACATAAGTCCACAGAAAGATAACAGATAGTTCGCCTTGTCCTACCTCGAACATTTGGACCATGGAAGCTGCCAAATAGACCAAAGCCACTTAGAAAATATGTTTTGCGAAAGATACAAATTTGACAAAAAAATGACATTAGTATTCTCTTTGTTATGGAGGGAATATTCCAGGCTTACTAATGTTCATTGCAGGTGGAACAGCATATTGTAGCAGCAGAATAAAATGATATAAAGGATCTGAGTGCACCAGGCCTAGATGAACTGCCCATTGAACTATAAATATGCCTATCAAAGGCAAGGCAATGTATCGAACAATCATAACTCCAAGAATAATGGAGAATTTTATAGTTGGGCCTTGTAGACCTGGAATTTGAGGCAATGTTAAATGGAACCAATATAACAACAGTAATAAAATAGTTATCACCTTTAGTGAGGTTTCCTCCCGTTATCAGGTGGATACATGGAATTGTACCATTACTGCATAAATAAAATAAGAAAGCCATAAGAATGTGCTTATGAGTCTTTAAATACATAGAATATTGTTGATGGTATGCATGTAATTATGAATGAGCTATGTTGCATCTATTTGGAGCTGTACCCGTGTCCAACACCCAAACTTCAGCGGAGACTCCTTGGATATTTACGTACAATTATTCACACGTGTATTCAATTATATAATACGTGTTTCAAGTTAAAACACTCGTCATATACTTTTTGGATGTATATCGTACACTTCACATGCAATTCTTGAAACTCATTGACAGAAGTTGGGTTCGTTTGACCTGTACCCCGTTCGAAACTATGGTTATAAATGGTCTTTTGGATATCAAGTTAAAGAATGAGGAATTTTCTAATTTAACGACTATATTCTAAAAGAACCATAAATGTGGCATGAATTTTATTTCATAGCATGTGAAATAAAAAAAATGTGGATATAATGTAAATTAATATTATGTATTCATGTATGTCTAGCCGTGTCCCGTATCCTATCTTATACAAATTCTCCGTGTCCTGCATCCGCACCTAAATCCTTGTAACTTAGTGAATAAGACTTGCATTTGTATAAAGTCATAAGAGAAGAATCATACCCTAACAAAGTAGCTGAATCTTGGATCACCCGCAGTGGAGCACCCTGTCCTATTATCCATCTTTTAATTTGTGGGACTGAGCCAATAATAAGCCCAATAATCTGAACCAGGAACAAAAGGAAATTCAATTAGCGATCAATTGAGTAAAGATTCATACTTGGACCAAGCTTAAAACTTTTCAGCCTGAGAATGGTGACAAATACATTGAGCACGCTGTTTCATTTATTGTTTTATGTTTTCTCAAATTAACTAGATAAATGTAAGCATATGGTTCTGACAAAGTAAAATTAGTATACCACTCCAATGGATGCTGGAGCAAACAACTTTTTGATGTCGATTATTCTTGAAAGCCTTCTCAACAATGTTTTTCTGTCATCCAGTCTCGGAACCTGTAAATAACTTTAGTGGCCAAGTAGCGTCTATATATTTTTGAATATACATAAAATCAATATTAAGCTGAAGATTAGTACATGCTTTGCCTCATTATATGAAATTGTTTAGTGTTTTAAAAATTAGAGTCACTCTGGTTATGCTTAAGTTATTACTCTCTTCATTATCTTAGAGTTTCTTGATTATACAAAGCAGACAGCGGATGAACCCTTATCTGAAACTGTAAAAGATAAAAAAGTTATGTGAACCTGCTGAATTGTAAAGCTTGGAATTGATTCTGTACCAAACTGTCATCAAAATAAGGAAGAAGAATATTTTAGATATTGTTTTTGTAGATTCATATGACTGTAGATCTTACGTTTATTTTGTATAGATCTTACGTTTATTTTGTATAGCTTAACGATGAAGTTCAAGACTATTCAATCCTTAACAGAAATGTGCTATTGTTCATTGATCATCAAAGATGCTCATGACTAGAGTGCTTAGATATATGACAATGAAAATTGAGCACAAGGTACTGACCTTCTTATCATTACCCCCATAAGGTTCAAGAGGAGATGCAGGCTCATTTAAACATTGAGTATATAATAAACAATTGCTATTCGATATTTCCTTAGCCATACAGCTCTGTGGGAGTAAACATCTGGATTCTTCTTGAAAATCCATTTTTGACAACTTGGCACTCACATTTTCTTCTTTATAAGGTGAAGATATCCTTACAAGGTTATATACGTATGACCATTGCAAAATTGTACCTATCTACATAACAATGATTTCACGTGAGTAATGTGGATGGTAACATGAATTTGCTTGGTAACTGAACAATCTGATGTTGCCATGTGCAGATAAATGTAGAGGATTCAAAGACTTACAGCTAAAGAGAGAGATGCATATGCCATTCCATACGTATCGCAAACATCTGGGCTTCCTAATGGGCTGCCTTTCTCTTTACACATTGCAGGTACAAGGATGATGAGTAAATTTCCAATGTTACCTAGTTGACAAATTTGTAGAAAGTAAATTAAATTAATGCTTATATATAAAGTAGTGGTTTCCTCATACTGAAATGTAAAATGATGATGACGCAACTGAGCTTTTAGTTTTACTACTTTCAGATGAGAATTGTTGAAGTCAACATATAGAATAGGAACTAATTATTCTGAAAATTTAAGGGATTACTGAAGCCATGACAAAGAACTCTAATTAGGGGGTACAAGGCATATTTATATGATGGTAGGAAACTAATGCTTTATGTCATGATACATCATCCACTCTAAAACTTTTGGATGCGTGGCTTACAATATTTAACAGATCAAGAAATCGAAAAAAACTACTAATTTGAATCTATGTTTAGCCTTTACCAGCCGAACAAGATGCCAAAATTACGCCCCTTAAATGAGGAGGAGAGCTCGTGACCTGAATGACAATCCACCCAAGTGCCGAACCAATAACAAAGTTGAGTACGAGACTGACTGGCATAAACCACCTGCATTATTTGTGAAAAAGAAGGTACTTTTTCAACATTCTCTCAATTTACCATACCTAACTGCAACATAAACTAGGAGAAATTCACTAAAATTGCGCTTTAAAAAGTAACTTACAGTAAAACCATGCTCTCAAGTGTTATTGTCTGGGATAAATTGCTGGATACAAGGGATGGATTGAAAACATAGTATACCACCTGCCTTAACAAACATATCATGCTCAGTGACAGATAAAGTGAAGAAATATAAGTAGGAACATATGGAAATATGAAAACTTCTCACATTGTTCAAATGCTTCCTTGCTTCTTGGTTTAGGATGTTCACACGACTAGTTGCTGAAATTGATCCCACCGCAGTTAGAAGAAGAACATTCAGCACTGGCATTGATGCAGTGAGAAAGAGCCCTAAAAGACCCATGATGAAGATGCTTCGGGTAAAAATTTATATCCCTCTCTGCAATATACACATCAGCGGTGTAAGTTAGATTTCCTCAAGTGACTAGATTTTCTGGTTAGATTTCCTCAAGTGACTAGATTTTCTGTTGATTAACCCACCAAAACCAAGGTGCATAAGAGGATAATTTGAAGCCTCACAGGGAAGATGTTGATAACCAGTTGTTTATCGATAGTGTATCTTTCTTTTTGAAGAATTACTTGTCACCAAATTCCTTATTACAAATAGAAAAAATAAAAAAAAAATCAATGCAACATTTTAAGAGAGATTAAATCAAACTGTCACATGAACTGTAAAAAAAATTATTTATCAGCATCGACAAACTGGACTTTGTGAAATTCTTGCTCCAGTGGGTCAAATATGTTTGCCTTCAACTGTACTTGTTGATTCAACTGTAAATATGGTACTTAATGATTTAAAGTACAGGAAAGGAAAATATAACATTAGTACTCATATTAGAGCTTGCATTTCCCTCTAAGTTGTGTTTCCACCGAGGATTAGCTATATGGTGATGAATGAAAAACAGTTATAATGAAGAAACTGGTATATTCAATTCTTTCTTCAAGTTATCTTTTGGGAGTAATTAATGTTAAATTTACTAGTTTTGTCCACTCTGAATTGGAAATCACAGTAGAGATTGAATGCCATTTTTTGTCAACTAGAGATCAATTCTGAAAAGAAATAATGTTCATTGACTTCATAAGAAATAAAATGGTGACTAGGTACCATGAACTGGGACTCCAGGGTTGAACCATGAAACCTGCAGAAACGGCAGACCGGAAGAGAGAAGGGAGAGGATGATCTTCACTTCTTCTTTCTTTCTCTTCCTCTTCTTTCCATATCTCTTTTCATTGGATACTAAAATAGTTCAAATTATAACTGAAAGAAAACATAAAGTGAAAGCAAACATATAGTTAAATTTATGAGCTGATTGAGTTATAATGCTGCCTTTTTTATAAGAGAGCCTTTTGGCTCCAATTAGTTAACTCATTATTTGGATACATATTAAATTCAAAGGAGCATCCGATGAAAGTGTCAACTAATGTTTGACTAAATGGAATAAGTGGGCTTCTAACTCTCTCATCACAAAAGGGATTAAAGGAATCCTAGGTGATGTAAAATTGATGAAGACATATATTAATTGTCTACATGCTGAAATTAGAGGATAGGAGTATGTGGACACTTTGGCTTGATGATGGTAGATGGAAAGGAATCTTTATTGTTTAGAAAGCTAACTTGGAACCATTTAGATGATGGAATAGTTTGAATAATGGTTAGCAAATAGTAAGTATGATGAAGATGGGAAAATATAATTACTTTGTTTTCGTCGAAAGTCGCATTCGTGATTGATTTCATTATAACTTTAGTCGTTTACAACGAATTCAAATAACGAAAATAAAAATTATAACTCTCTTGAAAATAAACACAAGATCCGTTTATCGACTCTTGCTTGCGCGGGTTCTTCGCCGGTGCCGGGATTATCCGTGGACGACCGCGGATCGGATCCGGTTGTCGGAAAATTGACGGAGCTCCTACTTCACCAAGGAAGTATTCGCTTGAAACGCTGAAATTGACCAAGCAAAATCAATAGCTCTTCTCGAGATTAAGACTAAGCCTAATCTCAAGGAACGGTCATACGGGGCTTCGGATCCTTTGAATGACTTCTCCTTTGTGCTGAAGTTCGTCGGGATCTCGTTGCCCTTTACTGAAATTTCGTGCTCATTGACTCTTCAATCCAGCATCACCTCGTCCTCTCGATCAAATTCCAGATCTGTAAAATGGAGGCATTGAGCTGATATTTATAGGCCTCGGGCACGGGTATTTGGATGAGAATGAGTGATTTGGTTTTATCTTCAGTTAACAACAGCCTAAGCACGTTTGTGGATCATATCAAATCAGTTGGGAACCCCTGGAACAGATAAATCCTGTGAAAACAGCTTTAAAAACCGTCGAACACGCGTTACAGGCTCTGGACTGCGCGACGGGCTCTGCTGACTCACGGGGGCGCGGGTCGACAAAGTCTGATCCGCGCTGGCGCGGGTCGGACAGATCCGACCCGCGCTGGTGCGGGTCGGCTTGCACGCGTTGATTGATGCACGCGTGTTGACCGTCGCGCACGAACTGATTGACGCGCGCATGTTGACTGACGTGCGCGAGCTGATTGACGTCCGTGTGTTGACCGACGCGCACGAACTGATTGACGTGCGCATGTTGACCTACGCGCACGAACTGATTGACGTGCGTGTGTTAACCGACGCACGTGAGCTGATTGACGCGCGTGTGTTGACCGACGCGCGCGTGTTGACCGACGCGTGCGTGTTAACCTACGCGCACGAACTGATTGACGCTCGCGTGTTGGCCGACGCGCCCTAGCTGATTGACGCGCGCGTGTTGGCCGACGCACACGAACTGATTGACGCGCGCGTGTTGACCGATGCGCCCTAGTTGATTGACGCGCGCGTGTTGATTAGGTGAATTTTCTTGACTTGCCTACTCTTTGATTCGAGTTTCGTGCGGGAACTTATAGGCAATTTCAGACGCTTACAGATACCCCCTCCAAATTGTTTCAGCATCATTCTTTTATAGAGGAGTCTGAAATGCTTTGGATGTGATAGACCCCCACCTTCAATCGGTGTTAAAGGACCTACAACTAATTCCAGTTCTTGACTTCTCCACATTTTAACCTATTCAGTATTTTGTCGAACAACTAAAATTCTTCTGGTACTGCGTTTATCGTTTGACCGTTGTTGAAGTCTCGAATCGAAATTTGTAAGTTGATTTTGAACTAATTATCTACGCTGCAACGCGGCGTATCGATTGGTGTTGGCTCTCATCGCAACGCGTTGACCGACGTTGACCTAGGGCTACGCGTTGACTGGCGTTGACCTTAGGGTTTTATATCGATCGGCGTTGACTCTCATCGCAACGTGTTGATCGGCGTTGACCTAAGGCTACGTGTTGACCGGTGTTGACCTTAGGGTTTTGTATCGATCGGCGTTGACTCTCATCGCAACGCATTGACCGGCGTTGATCTGGGGCTACGCGTTGACTCTCATCGCAACATGTTGACTGACGTTGACCTGGGCTACGCGTTGACCGGCGTTGACCCTAGGGTTTCGCGTTAACCTGAGGAGAACCAGTTTATACTCGTATACTCCTGGGAGTTTCGGGAATCAGTTTAACCTCGTGTACCCGCTGGAGGTTACCGGGTTATCCTTAAGAATTATTATACGTAGTATTCTCCAGGAACATCCCGTCATAAATGGGAAACAGTTTAGACTCGTATACCCATTGGAGCGTACGTGGGTTTCGAACATCTCGAATATGAGCATAAACGCAACGAAATTAACCGGGAGTATGAAAGTGGGTCCCGAATATTCCGTGGATGAGCAAAACTGCCGCGAAGCCATCCGGAAATATGAAAGTGGGTCCCGAATATTCCGAATATGAGCGAAAATGCTGCGAAATTATCCTGGAGTATGACGGTGGGTCCCGAATATTCTGAAAGAGTGAAAATGCCGTGAAATTATCCGCAAATATGAAATTAGATTCCGAACATTCCGAGAGTGAACGAAAGCGGGCGGGAATACAATGAAACGGACACCGGATCGTGTCTGACTCGCGCGAACACGGGTCAGATCGATCCGACCTGCGTGCTCGAGGGTCGGGCAGCGATCCGACCCGCACAAAGCGGGTTGGGTTGGCTATACTTAAGGTCTTAAAGTCTCTGTTCCCCTCTCCCCCTTCTAATTTTCCGTTCCAGCCTTCTTTTCTTCCCCTTATTTTCGGTTTCTTCTTCCCCAAACTCCATCTCTTCAAGAGTTCTTCATCTACAGAAATCCTTCTTCTTTAAGAGTTCTCAAACTCCTCAACTTTGCTAAGATCAAGAGGCTTTTGAGAGGTCCCTGAGTTTGGCCGAATTTTCATCTCCTTACAAGCTAGGGCTTGGCAATTTAGGATTTTCTTCTTCTTTAAGCTCCAATCTTCTTGAAACTTGGGTAAGTCTCTCCTCATGGCTTTGATTTCATCACTTCAATTTTAACTAATTCTCTAAGCCTTGATTTAATGATTGAAACCCTAGTTCTTGAATTTGGGCAAAAAACCGAATTTTGATTGGATTTTGGATGATGGCCGAATTTATTGGTTTCAATTGTGAGCATGGCTTGATAACTGCAGTCCCAACTCTATAATCTTGGGGAAAACCGAAATTTGGGTTTGGGCTTGAATGATGGCCGAAATTTTTGACTGATATTGATGACCTGAGTGTCGTGCATCGCCGAGGCCAAACTCTTCTTTAGGTTTAGGCCTGAATTGAACCTCGAGCTTAAATTTATGTGTTGACTGAAAGCCGAAGTCGCTAATTTGTATGTGAGTGGAGCCTGATTTATACGTGGCCGAATTTTCCTTTAGCTCTTGGTTATTTCGAACTTGTACATGGCTGAGTCCTCCTTTAACTCTTGATTGATGTTTAATGACTTGAATCTCGATCTTGTACATGACCGAGTTCTTCTTTAATTCTTGGTTGATTGATGTTGATGATTGAATCTGTAGTTCTCGGACTTATGCATAGCTTAGGCCTATGATTGTTGTCCATGTCCATACTCTAGCCCAAATTTTTGATAGATTTTGCAAACTTTTTGAAGTAGTTGATATTCTTTGCTTGACTTGTGTGGGAATTCCCTGGTCGTGTATGAGAACTGAATAGGATTCTCGATTTAGGGGAAATATCGAGGCTCTAATTCTTGACTTTGTGTGTATGATCGCAACCCCTTACTTTAATTTGTCGAGCTTTGAGCTTTGTTAACCTTGAAACTGATGAACTAAAGCTTGACTATGAACTGGCGCTTGAATGAAGCTTAGTTTCGAATTCTTGTCAACATTAAGCCCTTGGGATACTTGGTTGTGTAGACAACTTGATATGACTTAATTCTTGTTTAACTCTTGTATGTATGATCATGAAACTCAAATCAATACCCATGCTCTAATTTCGGATGATTCTGTGAGTTTGTAAATCTGCACATTGACGTGGTCGAGACCCTTGGTTTGGCTTTGTGACCTTCGACTTGATCTTGTCCTTCGAATTTTCATACTCGATTATGGATGTGAGCTGTGTATGAAGCACTTAGTTTGATTGACATGCATATTTGATTTTCCTCTCACTTTAGCTTGAATTGAGAATGTCGTATAGGTTTAATTGGACCTTTAACTAAAAAAAATCCATTTGGTAGAATTTCAGTCAAAGATTCATAATTTTCCTTTTAGTCTTTCGCTTTGTGCATCTCGATTCTTGATCTGATTGAGTTGTTGATTTTTATTGCATATTAGCCATGTCGACGAGGAGATCACGCCTCACGAGGAGCCGTTCGGCTACTCAGTCACCTGAGAGGGAGCGTCTATCTTTTACCGGTAAGCCCTTGTAATTTCCTGCTTATGAATTCAATCTTCATTATATCATATTGCATATTGTATCCCCTTTCTGTCCTCCTTGGTGAGGCAGTCGGGAAGAGCTGATATCCTCCTTTGTGGGGGTGGACGCTTCTATATTACATCTCCGCTCTGTTCTCCTTGGTGAGGCAGTTGGGAAGAGCTGATATCCTCCTTCGTGGGGGTGGATGCTTATCAGATACGTTTTGGTTGGTCAAAACGCGTCTTAAGGCAATATGAGGCGATTTTTACCGTATTACGTTCCATAAGATAGGGTACGTTACCGCGCTGTTCGTGCAATAATGTTCGTTATCTTGTATATTCGTGATACAGTTAAAATCGTCTCGCCAATTACAAGATAGTGACTCTATCTCACGGATTGGTGAAAAGAGTTCAACGCCCTGTGTTGCCTTAACATTTCTTCATCACTGCGTTTAACAAATACGCATTATTCGTTTCAGTTGAATACCCTGCAACGTCGTTTTCTCAATTCGAGATAGATGGCCATAGGAGTAGATACTACACTGTTGTTGATAACCCGACGTCGATCCCGTCCACTTCTCAGTTTGCTTTGGACCTCCCAGATGAATTCTCTAAGTTAGTACGGGAGGGGGGGTCGTCGCATCATGCGCCAGTTAATTACAGACGCGCCATTTGCCGAAGATTCGGATCCTGCTCATCCTTTAAGGAAGACGCATTACATGTTCGGCGATTCCGTGACGGATCCAGACGTCATAAACCTCGAAGATGAACGGTGGTTACACAGTGACGGTACAACTTGCTTATATCTTCCTTCGTTCCCTCGTCATCGTTCGCTAACAGAATTGCGAGGGCAAGCAGTGACGCGATAGATGCCATGGACCCTGACAGAAGAGCACACCAACATCCCTTGCGGATATGTCACCAACCATTCACTCCCGGGTTCCAGTGACAGAAAACACATTACAGGGTTACACCCCAGCGTGATGGGATTAGAGGATCCACCTAAAGGGGAGCTACCCATAGTGGCTCGCACAGTTAGGAATCGCCTCGCTGAGCTAGGGTGAGAGCTACCTATCGAAAATTACAGGTGCTTAGGTTGGTCTCATTCTTCAGACAAATCATGGTGGGGCCGGATGACATGTTATATCCTTCACCGATGGGGTGCTGAATTAAAATTGATAAGATTGTATGAAGCTATTCGCGCCACTCAATACGGATAACCGGTGAACGCTCTCCATTTCATGGGATTAATAGAGCTGTACAATCCAGATACCAACACATTTCTTACTCGGAACGGAGAATTAGGACTACCCTTCCATAAGATGCATAAAGTCTCCGGATTATAAATTGGAGATATGCCGTATCAGGAATATTTTCCCTCCAATCGGGAGCTACATCAATTGAAAATCCATACGACACGTTATGGGAACTCACGTGTCATTATCAGATTGCTTTAGCCGGAACTAACCCAGTTGCGAAGAAAAAGTCTCCTCAAATAAGCTTGAAGCAATTCTCATGTTACCTATTCAAGAATTTGGAGAAAACCGGTAAAGCTGTTTGTGAACTGAAACCACTAACTCCTTCGTAGATCAACAAATTGGCTGAAAAACACGGCACCCGATCTTACACCATCGCGAGTGCCCAAGGTAGATTTTGTGCAGGAACTAAGTTCAAGACCTTCTTGTTGCAAGCGGAGAAGTCCATCCACCCCAAGACTTTGTTGGCCGGTTATATCGCACTTTGGTTGAAGAAGTACGTGGTGCCATATCAGAACTCGGATGCCTTGCCGATAGAAGTGTTATTTCCCGCTGTCCAGCTTGCCTACGGAAGGAGCTTATCTCTTTTGTCGGCAATGATTGCCAGCATTCATTGCGGGCTTCGTCAGTGGTTATAACTTTTACTCAAACTGAGGGGACCCCATCCGTGAAGATCCCTACGGCGAAGGCAGAGCTCCCTTACACCTATCTGATGGGACGACTGGTTCTTCATCGCCCCGATTTGATGTCGCCTCCTACTAATGCAGATCTGTCCACTCCTTTGCTACAACTATACGAGGAGTGTCGATGGATAGCTTGGGACTTTTCGGAAGTTAGGAAGAGCTTGCACTTGCACAAGGGTTGGGTGATCAATCCATGCCTTCTTCGATTTGTCAGCAAATATGGTGAGATGCTTACCAATGTAGAAGCGCCTGGAACTGACCGGACCTCTCTCGACGTTGGCTGTTCCAGATGGCTCATGAACATAAGGCCAGACCACCTCATTTTCCGAGTGAAGGAGCGCTGCTATTTAGAGCCTTATCTGCCGTGTCGGTTTGCTTGTCAATTTGGATATGACCAGTTATACATCGGGAATCCGAACCGACGGTTTCATACTCGTGGCAGGCTAGTGGACGGCACTCGCGCTTGGCTGTGGAATGTGACGGGCTGTACCGGAGCCAAATTCAGTCTTTCGAATACTGACCGCTACTTAGAGCTCACATATCTATGTTGTAAGTGGATTATGATTGCTAATGAACCCGTCCCTCTGAGGTCAATTAAGGAGCTGATGGCTAGAGCTGCAGCGCGTATCGCTGAGAGGATGGTTCGAGAAAGTGTGCTGGAAAGAAAGAGACGCGACAGTAAGCTCGCTGGTCCCTCGGGCAAAGACAAGCAGAAAATGGAAGAGATAGAAGAGGAATCGTTCGCTTCTGATGAGGAGACTTCCGAAGAGGATCAAGCTACTGCTGGTGGTGGTATGGAGGTCAACAACGACTTCGAGGAACATGCAGCAGGTTTGTTTGAGTCTTTTTATAAAGAGCTATGGGATCTATCGATCGCTGATTAAAAGGTGAAGAGGGAGTGGGCCAAACAAGGAAGGGGAGGGTGTGGGAGAGAGGAGTGAGGTTGAGGATTGGGAGGGGAAGAGAATGAAGGAGATAGTTGAGAGGAGAATGTAAGAATGAATGTGGGAAAAGATGGAGAAGGAGTGAGAGATGAGCAGTGTTGTAAAACACGCTCTGGGCGGCCGCCTAGGCGCCCGCCTAGGCGGAGGCGGTGCCCAGAGCGTTCCAAAATGCCCTGGGCGGCCGCGATTAGGCGCTGCGAGCGCCTAGGCGGCCGCCCAGGGCTAAACGGCGATTACACGGGCCGCTCAAAATTCCATCCCAAAAAAGCGCTCTGGGCTCCCAAGAACCCGAACCCAAAACAGAAACCGAAACCCAAAACCCAAACCAAACTCAAAAGTGAAAAAATCTATCCTAAATCTCTTACGGTTTCACCGACGCCGCCAGCAAAGGAAAAAAATCAAAAATCGTCTCGTCGCTTCGATCTCGTGCTGCCGCGTGGCTTTCGAGCTCTTCTTCAACCTCGTGCTGGACTTTCGAGCTCATCTTCAATCTCGTGCTGGAGCTTCGTCTTCGATCTCACCCAAGTTCGGTCTCGTGCTGGAGCTTCGTCTTCGATCTCCGCCAAAACCCCTAGTTCGATCTCGTGCTGGACTTTCGAGCTCGCCTTCAACCTCGTGCTGGACTTTCGAGCTTGTCTTCAACCTGGGAAGCTCATTTTCGAGCTCGTCGTTCTCATCTCCAACTTCGAGCTCGTCGATCTCATCCTCATGCTGGACTTGCGTTCTCATCTTCAACCTGTGTGGAGCTCGTCGACTTCAAACTTTTGGGTTCGGCTGTGCTCTTAAGCAGATTCGGTCTCATTAACTTGGGTTCGGTTTGTGTTGATAATTTTAGGGAAATTGGTTGCTTTACTTGTGTCTGTTGCTTCCAGGTGTGGTTGCTTGATTTTTGGCTTTGTGTTTAAGAGAAATCTGTCTTGATTGATTGGAAGGTAAAATCTGTGTTGATTGGAAGGTAACGTCCCTAAATCTCTTGAATTTTCTGTATGTTAACTGTTAAGAGAGATAAGTAAGTTTAATCCGCTGATGTTTCATGTTTGGTAGATTCTTATTACTTGTGAGGATTTTTTATTATATGTTCTTCAATTTAGCAGGCTAGCGAAGTGTGAGATTTATTGTTTCAAGCTTAAGGAAATTAACTGCACCTAACCACCTATGACTGTCATTATGCATTTATAATTTATTACATGTCAACTTAATATATTTATATCATATTTAGTTTATTGTTAAGTTATTTGTTTAATTGTTTAAGTTTAATTTTCCTATTTCAAATAAAAAGTATGCGAGTAGAGGAGAACTTCATGATGATGATGATGCTTTGAATGACATTTGATTATGATGCATATGGCTAATTCATTATATTACATCTAGACTATTCCTGTTTACTATCTTTTTGCTGATATTTTGGGACATAAACTTTTAGTTATTGGATATTATATGTCTTGTCATTTAGTATGTATGCATCTTTGTGATTGATAGTAAGGTTGGATAGCATATGTGTTGGTATTTTTGTATTTATGCGTTGTGATTGAGTATATATATTTCAAGTATCACAATTAAAAAAAGAAAAACCGCCCAGAAGAAAAAAACCGCTCAGAAACCGCTTAGGCGCCCGCCTAGGCGTCTAAGCGCTGGGCGCCAAGTCCGGCGCCCAGGAGCGCCCAGCGTTTAATGTAACATTGGAGATGAGAATGAAAGTTGGTGATTGGAGGAGAAGAGAACGGAGGAGATAATGAGAAGGAGGAAGGAAGAGATAGTGGGAATGGATGTTTTTTTTTTTTTTTTTTTTTTTCACATTTT